ACTACTCCGGAGGCTGAGGTGGGAAGATTGCTTGAGCCCAGGAGTTCAAAACTACAGTGAGCTATGATCACACTACTGCACTCCAGCCTGGATGACAGTGCAAGACTCTGCCTCAAAAAAAAAAAAAAAAGTTTAGGGACAGCTATATTCAAATATCGGGGGAGGGGGGGGAATCAATCCATCCACCCCTCATACCATAAAAAAAATTCCAAATGAGTCTAAGATTTAAATGTAAAACGGAAGTCCTAAAATGAGTCTAAAATAAAAGTCATAAAAGCACTAAATGGGTTAGGTGTGGTGGCTCATGCCTGTAATCCCGGCACTTCTGGGAGGCCAAGGTGGGAGAGTCTTGTGAGTCCAGGACTTCAAGGCTACAGTGAGCTATGATCACGCCACTGAACTCTAGCCTAGGTGACAGAGCAGGACATGTTTCTAAAAATAAAAATTAATTAAATAAAAGCACTGGATGAAATAATACAAAAAACATTTTATCACTTCAAGTGGTAAACATTTTTCTAACTAAGAGTTTTTAAGACTTCTGGACTTCCTATTAACATATTTAACTATATAATAATTAGAAATTCTATATGCAAAAAAACATAAAATCAAAAAGGAAACACTTAGAAAAATCATTTCAACCCACATCATTACATAAGTACAAATAGCTTCCTGAAAAACATTTTTTAAAAGAAAATTTATCTGCTTGTGGGAACTAGGGTGCTAAAAAAAAAAAAAAGAAAGAAAAGAAAATTTAGGCAAAGGCAATGAACAAAAAGGGAAATAAAAGTGGCACTAAAACATGAAACCCAACTTTGCTTACAAAATGAATGAATATTAAAACTACACTAACATACCAGTTTTACATATTTGACAAATTCCAAATCTCTAACAACACATAAAAATAATACATAGTATGTGCAAGAACATGAGGAAACAGGTACTGTCATACATCACTGTTGTTGAGGAAACAGGTACAATAGGACTTATTAAGAGCAATTTGGGGCTGGGTACGATGGCGCACACCTGTAATCCCAGCACTTTGGGAGGCCGAGGCAAGTGGATCCCTTGAGCGCAGGAGCTCAAGACAAGCCTGGGCAACATCGCAAAACCCCGTCTCTACTAAAAATACAAAAATTAGCCAGGTGTGGTGGCAGGTGCCTGTAGCCCCATCTACTTGGAAGGCTGAGGCACAAGAATCGCTTGAACCCAGGAGGCAGAGGTTGCAGTGAGCCAAGACTGCATCACTGCACTCTATACTGGGTGACACAGTGAGACAATGTCTCAAAAAAAAAAAAAAAGGATAAACAAAAAAACAGCAATTTGGTAATATCTATCAAAAATTTTTATTTTTCAAACATCAATCAAACAGCTAGAAATTTATATTATAGACACATTTAGATCATGATGTTAGATACAAGAACTTCATTGTATTGAATTTTTAAAAATTACAAGATAAAGGTTAATGACGGCCTGGCGTGATGAATCACACCTGTAATCCCAGCACTCTGGGAAGCCAAGGTGGGTGGATCACTTGAGGTCAGGAGCTCAAGACCAGCCTGGCCAACATGGTGAAACCCCGCCTCTACTAAAAATACAAAAATTAGCCAGGCATGGAGGCACATGCCTGTAATCCCAACTACTTGGGAGGCTGAAGCACAAGATTTGCTTGATCCCAGGAGGTGGAGGTTGCAGTGAGTCGCCTGGGCAACAGAGTAAGACTCTGTCTCAAAAAAAAAAAAAAAAAGTTAATGAAGTTGCACATAACTATATAATGAAATATGATGTACATACAGAAAAGAATGAGGCCACTCCATATGATAGGAAAAGATCTCTAAGATACTTTAAGTGAGAAAATTAAGGTGGAGGAGTGTGAACAGTAGGCTACGATTTGAGTGTAAATCGTTTACACATAGACCTACGCATGTGCTAAATATGTCTAAGAATGAACTAAATATTGACTGTCTCTGGAAAAGATCTATTGCATAGAAGGCAAAAAAAAAAGATTTTAGTACATACACTTTTGAACAATTTGAATTTTGTGCCATGAACACATATTACTTATTTCAAAAAAAAAATTTAAAAAGAAGCCAATGCAGCTAGGCATGGTGGCTTATGCCTGTAATCCCAGCACTTTGGGAAACCGAGAGGGCAGATCAGTTG